CCCCCCCCCCCCCCCCCCCCCCCCCCCAGCTCACGGTGTCTGGGCATCAGTGCCAACATCCTGCTTGTTTCATTTCGGATGTTAGGTTTAGTTTAAAGTTAATTTTTCTGCCACTGTCCCTTTCAACAGACACTTTGTACCAATAAAGAAAAATAACAGAAAACGAATGAAAGAATCTGGCATTAGCGGCATATTTGTAAATTTAAAAACTATCCACTGGGGCTTAGGAATCGGGGGGGTTGGAGGGATGTGTATCCCCCAATATTTAATATGGCTTTATTTGTCCTCCAAAAAAGACCTGTGCATTTAAATTATTAAGTTGTGCACCCCCCACCCCCCAGTATCCAACTCTCTCCTGTACCCTTGCCTATACATTAAATCCATTCCGGTCATTGACATTGATTGGAGATTGAACTTCAGACCAGTTACCTAAGAAAATCCTCTCTCTCCAGATGATGCAAGTGACACTCTCCAAAGAGAAGATGAAGACATGGATGGGGAGGGCAGCTCCGCCCTGGCCGACAACGTGGTACGGTGTCCGATTGGCCCCTGATCCCACTCCCCACTGGTGTTTCTGATATCGCGTTGAAATGAGCAGAATATCCAGGTGTTTATATAGATAAAATCTATAATCATTTTCTATATATCCGTTAGCTAATCGCTCAAAAAAGGATTAAATAAAAATAAAAGTGAAGGGTTTGCTCTATTATGGTACACAGTCCAGTGCAGACCACTAGATAATTGTTATTTTTGTGCGAAATTTAGCTTGACATTTGTTGAATCCATCCATCATCCGTCTTGTCGGACATTATTTGCCGCCAGGGTGCCTCTCAGCCTGCGCTGTTGGCGTATTCCCGCACGCTTCCTGTCAAGCAGGAAGTAACGTCTGATCTTTTTATTCGCAAATGTCAAGATGTGTCAGATCACAGTCAGGATTCAATAAGTGGCTTGACGTGGCCTAATTAGCTGCTTGGCTTGGGTGAAGCGCCGCATGCAAGTCAACTCGGCGCGGCCTGGCGTGAGAATTAATTCGGCCTTCGATTCTTCTTGTTTAGTATTACCTTCCGTGACAAAAATGATACTTTATTACAGCCCGTAACTGGGCAACCCGTGTTCCTGTTTCATTTTTAAATGAGGACAAAGTACCTATTTCCAGCAAATTTAATTTACACCGTATCTAACTCCAAAAGCAGACGTTTGGATATCCATTCAATTATTCAAGCGGTCTTCAGCTTTCAGTTCCAGATGTGAAAACAAAAGGATTTAGCTGTGTACCTGATGGCAAATATCACATTTCCATTATTTGCGTTTTCATTTAGCCGATAGACAATAAAATGTTTTAGTAGTGCAGATGGTTCGCAAATAAATACACTGTGGCTGCAATTTTAAAGGGATTATTTTTATTGGGTATTTTTGCAGTTGCTGTCAACAGCTCTCAATAGCATTAGATAGTATTACAAAGCACTATAAATATAGTCGAGTTTTTGTATGACAGAATTAAAATCAACATTTCTAATATGTACTAGAGCTGCGGGGGCATATCAGTGGTTTCCTCAGAGTGGTATTTTTCGCGCAGAAAATCGAAATAATCGATGACGAGGATGAGGAGGAAGATAACGACGATGAAGTGATTGGTCCAGACGTGGACCTGGTGCACAGCCAGCTGGAATTCAAGGTACAGACCGATCTCGGCATTCCCGATCTCGGCGTCCCCTCCAGGCTCCATGCTTTCCGCAGGGGGTGGAAGTGCATGTGTGTGGTTCCCAGCAGCGGCAGGGATGACGCTCTTTTCCATTTATTTATATTTATTTGCGTTTATTTATTTAACGGATGCTTTCGTCCAAAGCGACGTACGAGTGAGGGAAACGATACGTCACAAGCGTACAGCTGTCAAGGTGCCAACTTGGGTTCAAAGCTGAGTTCCCGGCGAGCCTGAGCACCTGGCATCTGTCACCAGAAAAGCTATATATATGCCATTAAATGGGCAATGGAACAAGCTGCAATGAGCTGAAGCCTCCTTCCCAGACTTCCCAGTCTCGTCAAGGTGGTGCGCCATTGCGACATCGCAATTTTTGCTCATTGTCACCCATTGGCACCAGCTCTGGCCAGATCGCCCGAATGAACTCTAGATCACTGCAGGCCGGATCCCCGCAGTCCTGCGATGAAAGGAGATCGTGCTGCGACTCAGACATCCCCGGGGGAACGCCGTGGAACCATCACTGTTCCCGGAATCCCGACTTGAAAGGTTGCAAGTGCCGAAGGTGACGCAGGAGCGGAGTGCCTCTTATTTTGTAAGAGGCGACGAGTGTCTGGGAGTCCGGAGGAGTCTCTGGTGGTGGAGAGGCTCTCGTGAGGCACGTTGGCCTGGATGCCTGGCCTGACAGTGTCCCCTGGGGTCGTCTCCTTGCCCTTCTGCTTCCCACAGACAGTCATCAGCTCACAGCGGCACTGATGTGTCCTGTCCGAGCCTCCGGCGCTAACATGCTAAACGTCGCCGGATGTCCGACGGATTGCTGGTTTCTTTCTCCCATGGTGCTCCCAGTAAAGTCAGGCCAGGTCAGGAGCAGATTACTGGCTCCGAGCGCCCCCTACTGTCAAACCTGGGATGCGTTTATGTGGCACCGTTCCTGTCGGTGCCATTTGGAAAGTTTACGAGGACGACCTGGACTGGATGCTGGAGAATGGTGACATTTGTAGGTGGGAAGGTCACAGCGGCAGGGAAGTGAACACCGTTTTGAAATCACACAGACACGCTAGGCTCACATTTACCCGACTCCGACATCAAATGTCACTCTTGTCAAAGCTTTTAAGATTAAGTGATAGATTAACAGGTTTGAGGGGCACAGGGGTGCAGTGGTTATTGCCATTGCCACACATCTCTGGAGGCCAAGTTTCAAGTGTGTGTGTGTGTGTGGAGTTTGCCTGTTATCCTGGGATAGGCTCCGCATCTCTTTGGGACTAGCAGGTTCGGAAAATGGGTGAACGTGTGTGATTATGCATGAGACAGACCCCGAAGAGAGCAGCATGATGTCTTAGTGGTGACATAACCGTCTGGAGCCACCTCACGCGTGGACTGCCATTTATGACACCCCCACCCCCCCAAAATCATAATGATGCACAGTGTGTGTCACAGACCTTTCTGGAAGATGCACCTGCTTTTCTGTGTTTGTATTTTTTATTTTTTTTTTTAAACGTGGCTTGACTCAGAATTGCACGTGCGACTGGTCACGCCGAGAGTCATTCGGCGACCTTGTGGGTATCTGTGATCCATCCATCTGTCGCCCCGACGCATCTCCTCACTGCGCACCTCTGAAAGCATCAGGACCGTGGCCCACATCTCTGGGGCTCAGCCCGGTTCCAGTTTTCTGGACCTGGTAGATCGCCGGGAGACGATTCAGCAAGCTGGAAGCTAACCCTTAGTACCAGTTGGCCTGGGCCGGTTTTAGCCCCCCCCCCTCAGCCGGAGCCGGAAGGATTCTGCACAGCTGTGATGTGCTGTCTCATCTCCCTGGGGCTTCCGCCTGTCTGGGGTCTGAACATGGCCGTAGCGTTAACAGCACGGTCACTGCTACCACTCATCTAGTCAATGCACACCTAATGCAAAGGCAGGATTCAAAAACTTTACTCTCATTTATACAGTACAATGAAATAATTGCTTGCGTATCTCCCTACTGACTTAAACAATATACAAAAGTAATAATAAATGGTAAATAACAGAATGATAGGACAAATAATATACATTAAAATATATACATATAATATACAAGAACATTCAAGTAGGACCACAAGGTGCTGAGGTTGAATGTGGCATTGGCTTTAAGTCAGTCATACTGATTGAAAACAATCATGGCTAATTTTCTGCATTTTAGTAGCGGCCATTTCAGGTTGGTAACATGTCTGGATGTCTCAGCGAGCCTCCCTGTGTCCTTTCAGCAAGAAGAAGTCCGGTATCTCGAAAGCGAGCTAGAGAACCAAAAACAGAAGTATTACAAGCTACAGATGTTCACGAAGAACCTGCTGAGCGCCGTGAAGAACATGGACCAGGAGAAACAGCAGGTGGGAACCTTTTCCCGGGCCCTTGACCAGTGTGGGGTCACGGTGACTAGGCAGGGGGACACCCTGGGCAGGATGCCTGTCTGTTTCAGGGCACAAATGCATTATGGGTAATTTGGAAAATACCTGCCAAAGAAATGATGTCATACGAATGGATTATGTAACTGTTTTGCCTATATTTAAGTGGCCTATGATTACAATAGCAGACATCCCACCTGTCTCGAAATTTCCGGGAGTCTTCCGGAAATTGACGGCAGCTCCCTGACACCCGCGAATGATGTGCAGCGCGCCGGAAATCTGTCATTCCGCTATTCAACAGCGGTAAAATTTGCTGGCAAGAAATTCAGCAAATTTTACCGCGAGCAAACACCCCCTCCTACCCCCCCCCCCCCCCCCCCCCCCCCCCCCCCCCCCCCCCCCCCCCC